TAAAACTAGGGTAAAATGTGATTTACTGTTTTCTGTCTCCTGGCTACCGGTAAAATATGTTCCCGCCAAAAGCCTGTAGCGTTATTTGAAACAACTGAATCCCAAACGTATTTATAGCATTTTTGAAACAACCAGTGTCAAATTAGGAAGGGTTTCTGTCATAAAAATCTATATTTTCATAGTTAAAGTTGATTTTTGCTCAATTCTGGTCCAGCCTGTCGGCTGTATCTGTCAATCACCGATTCTCCATAGTTACTGGTAAATGTTTTCTGTTTGTTTTGTCATAATTTCACCAAAAAGTGTCGTTTTCACATACATTTACCTTAGAATCGTCGTGAAAAGTGTACCAGAATTTATTGGTGTGACTCAGTGTTTTATTTTTCTTCGAAAAACTGACAAATGTACGTTGTCTGTGATCATACCGTCTGTACGGCTCCCGGTAATGTGTATGCACAGTACCGGGCCGCGGTTCCCGCCACAAGTTCCCGCCACATTTGAAACTGCTAAACCAAACGTGTTTGTACGCTTTATTTCAACAGCCAGTGTCAAATTAGCGAAGGTTTCTGTCATGAAATGTCTGTTTTTATTCTTATAGAGTTGCTTTTTGCCCGATTTTGGCCAAGCCTGTCGGGCTAATTTCACCGGTTACGTTTCTAGTAGTTAGGCCACACCGTCTTAATTTTATGGATGACATCCCCTGAAGATCCCCAAACTAGTGCGCGCGGGCGAATAAAAAAAATACGGCTAAAAATAAAAATGCCACTAAACCACAGGAATACAAAGCTGGTGTTGTGAATTTGCACCATTACATAGCGACGTATACGACATGCCGGCACATGCTGGCTTTTTGCGGAATTTATGAATCGGCACTGTACGTACGTACTGGTTTCTTGAGTCGTGGAGTTTCGGCACCCTGGGTGCCAGGCTCCATATTGTCGTTAACTACCATGGACTACCCAGGCCTAGAGCCAGGCCAGAACCTCAGTGGACGTGATCTTACAACAGCGGCCTCTAAAACTATTACAACCTGTTACAAGACTTTCGTCCGTCCTACTGTCGAATACGCTGCACCGGCTTGGCATGCGGGTCTAACTGCACAACAACGCGGAAGGATTGAAACTATTCAAAAACGGGCCTGCCGGACAATTCTTGGCTCCGATTATACCAGCTACACTGAGGCCTGCCGGACACTTGTCTTACCAACCCTAGACAGCCGCCGCCGTGACTTGTGTTTTAAGTTTGCCAGACAACTTGTAACATCTGTAAAATTCAGAAACTGGCTCCCACCTCTCCGTGGCGAGGTCAGCGGCAGGCATACGAGAACATCTCAACTCATAGACACAATCACAACTAGGACTGACAGATACAAAAAAAGCCCAATCCCTTACATGGTATCCCTCCTAAACAGCACAAATATGTAATAGCACCACAAGTTCCACTGACCACTACTTTATTGTGACACAGGAATTGATTTACGACGATGATTTAATTATTTATTTATTACGACTAATATGTTAAAATTTAAATTATACATAGTTTGTGCGATTGTAAGATTGTAAATACCAGTACCAAAGTGATATATTAATATGTAGATTCCGATATGATTTCAATTTGTATTTCCCTACTATTAATAACTTATATTGTAAACAACTTGATCAGAATTCAGCCCTGTATGTCAAGGCTGCGAGATACGTTGTAAATATGTTGATACAAGCAAATAAACCAATTATATATTAGTCTTTGTTTTTTTGCATACAGGGCGCCACCCAATGGCAGAAGATGGTACTGCAGCACTCAACAGGTTCTGGCTGAATCTGAACTCGAGGGATGGATTGGATCGTAGATTGGATCGTGGGGCTCGTTCCTTTATACCATATGTCTCCTGAAGGAAGCAAGCTTCACGATGACGACTTGGACAGGTGAAATTCTAATTTTTTTTTACCGTCAAACATAAAGAGTAAGGGAGGGGGCGTTGGGAGACTATATTACATGCAATCTTTAGTGTGAACAGTTCATGTAGGGAATGTTTGGACACGATATGCCTTGTTTTTACTTCTATGCAATATTTATGTAATTATGTTACTTAGTAATAGATAGAATTTTGGGGTGCAGGGATACACTTCGCACTTTCTTAGACTTATAGTTGTAGCTAAGATTGTCACTCGTTATGATGTAAGAGATCGTACCATTCTACCAAAATAAATTGGAAAATTGAGAGCATGAAAGTGATTTTCTTGGTGTTAATGTTTGCACCTGCTTATGCCATGGCTTGCTCTCTGATGCTAACATGCACTTGACTTTTAGACTTAGCGAAGGTAAGTTAAACGTAGGGACCGTTAGGGAACGTAGTTAGTAGTCCAAGTGTGTGCTGACACAGGGAGCAAAATCCTGGCCTGCAAAAAAGATAGTTTTTGTATAATCACAAGGCACACCAAAAACTTAGCTAGTCGTCGATGTTCGAGAGGAGCACTTGTGATTGTATTGTTGTGGAGAGGACAAGCCAGACCGCCCAGCTGAGATGCCAGAGGTGAGCCATGTGGGGACTGCATGCTGTACTAACATGTACTTTTTCTCCCTTGACAAAATTTGGGGGTACCTACAAACTCGCGTAGCACTCACGTTGGGTTAGGGCCAAACCATAACTAACCTGTCTTTCCTTTACTCCGGCAACTTATGCCATTTATGTTTTTTTGTCCCATACTAGGGAGGGAAAAGCCTGGTTACCGGACTAATATTATCCCCAGAGTCTTTATCCTCTCGAGAAATAGGGCATAGGTCTGGTAACCAGGCTATGGGAAACCGGGGTCCTTCCGAAAGGGTTTGTTCTCTCCTTTTTAGTTTTAGTTTTCTATACAGATCCTGACGTTCATCGTTGGAAGCAGATCGTGGTCTTTACCATCCAAACTCCTTGCTGTGAGGCTCAGTCTTCATTCGAGGAAGGAAGCAAGCTTCGACGAAGACTACAATACTAGATAAGATTTTTCTTTCTTCCCGTTAAATGTAACGAGTAAGGGTGGGCGACGTTAAAAGACTTTAAGCCAGAGTTTATACTACATACCTTGTCTGGTCTGAACAGTTTAGTAGCACCCAGAAACAGGGTACGAGGGAGGGATTAGGGTGGGGGGATGGAGTGAATTTGTTAGTAACTTCTCTGTTTTGCCTTTCCAGTAGACCCCACCTCTTCACGTTGCCAGAAGGACCATGAAGGAAGCCAGCAGAACTTCATAGGCCAAAATAAATGTCTTCAACTGATATTCTTTCAGTCGAAGTGCCAGCCTGCCACGTCAGCCAGCTGCGTTAGCGATCTAGGTAAGTTGGAAGGGAGGCAGCTTTATATTAGATAACAAACGTTTTGAAGGTGTGTCAATTTTAATGTTTGAATTGACATTATTTATTAAAATTGTAACAGTATAATACATGTGGAGCACAGGCAGCTGTTGCTTGTGTTGTGTCCCACACATAGAATATTACAAACGTATACAAAAAACACAACTAGATCTGGTGCTTACCAATAAAAGTAGAATAACATTATGATACATCTAATCTTCCGTTACGTCTCAGATCCTTCCACATTCCTGTATATTTCTTCCACTTCAAACAGCTGGCTCCAAACGCTCTTTCTTTTTGCACACAGACGCGCCCCCTTATAGCAAAAGATGGTACTGCAGCGCACCACGGGTTCTGGCTGAATCTGAACTGGAAGGATGAATTGGAGGGGGACTGAGGGGCTCATTCATTCTTACCAGACGTCTCCTGAAGGAAGCAAGCTTCAAGAAAACGACTAGACCAGATAAGCCTTTTCTCTTTTTTCCCCTCGTCAAATGTAAAGAATCAGGAGAAAAGAGTTTGGATTTGCATTGGCGTATTTAGTTAAGCATTTGCGCATTTGTTTTTTCATTGTATTTGCATTTCATTGCATTTGCGGATTTCGACCATTTTTCTCATTTAAGATTTGCATTTGCGTACTTGGACCAGCATTTGCGGGTTTTGACCTCCATTTTTCCCATTTCGGATTTGCATTTGCAGATTTTGACCTTCATTTTTCCCATTTGGATTTGCATTTGCGGATTTCTTTCGACATTTGCGTATTTGGATCTGCTTCTTTAAACCTCATTTTGAACGGATGCAAGTCTCTCATGTCCAATTAAACATTCTATCACCAATTCCATTCCACGTGTAATATCCTAGTAATCTAATGATTTGAAACTTGTTCGAAGAAAGAGGACAAAGAAACAACACAAAGAAAGAAAGAAAAATGCGAAGCAACGGTTGTTCTTTAAACTGTGTAGAGATCAGATTCGCTTAAAGATTTGTCCTTGTCCTCGCGGATTTTTAGAAGAAGAAGAAGAACTTTATTGCACGACAATTGCACATTGTACAATGAATGGCAAACTACATAAAGAGAGTAGCAAACAATAAAATGTGTTGAACAAGACCTAGTGTCGAATAAACCTAACAAATCTACATCATAATTATTCAAATAATAAGGGATAGCAGAAGTCTTTGATAAAGTGTAACAATCGAGTGGGCTAATCACAAGTTTCGGAATTTTTTCTAATAGCAAAGCATTCCTTTATATATTTACCTATTTTTGCGTTGTGGGGACCATTACATGTAAACTTATATATTCAAATCTGTCTCCAACATCGAGACTCTTGAAATCTATTGTACTTGATTCGAGAAATGTACATAGCTTGTTACTTTTAGATAACGATCCAGTGTCTGGCCTGTCTTGCGCCGAAGGCAGCTTGTATCAGTCTGGCCACAATCGGCAAATCTGTGACGCATAACCATTGTCAAAAGCTTGCATGACGTTAATCTAATTAAAGGCTTACTTAAACACATTTTGCCTGAGGGCCGGATAGAACCTGGATAAAACCGGTCTAGTGAGGACAGTAAACTCTCCAAGCAGAGGTTGGTTGGGAAGGCTGTGAGCTTCTTCCGTTTAACCGTTTTCTGACAGACGTTCCAATCAACCTGCGGCTCTCATGTTGGGTACATTAGAGATAACCGTTGTACGGACGAGTGTGATCAACCATTTCCCGACGCGACGCCGTCTCAAGCGCGCTGTGCCCGTGTCCTCACCACAACGTCACGTACAGAAATGATCACACTTTGCGGGTTTGCAAACATGGCGTCGGGACAGGACACAGGGACAGCACGACACCAGGACATGTCTTCCGCCAATAATAAGGACCTGGGCAGGCGGATTAAAGTGTCAGTCGTCAGCCTGGCTGTCTTCGCGATGCTTCTCGTCCTTCAACAAGCGCTACTGAGGTCAGTTTTTGTAGTAAGGCCACACCGACTTAATTTTATGGATGACATCCGCGCGCGCATTGATTTTCGCCTGTCGCCCTCAAAAAAAAATCACGTCCACCGAGGCTCTAGGCCTGGGTAGTCCATGGTAGTTAGCGACAATACGGAGCCGGGCACCCAGGCTACCGAAGCTCCAAAACTCAGTACATAAGAGCACAGTACAGATTCATAAATGCCGCAAAAAGCCGGCATGTGCCGGCTTGTCGTATACGTCGCTAAGTACTGTCGCAAATTCACAATGCCAGCTTTGTATTCCTGTGGTTTAGTAGCATTTTTATTTTTGGCCTGATTTTTTTTTATTCGCCCGCGCGCACTAGTTTGGGGGTCTTCAGGGGATGTCATCCATAAAATCAAATCGATGTGGCCTAATCGTCCTTTATCACTACTACTCTCCAAGCGCTTATAGGCTTTGGTTTATTTATGTTCACCGAAGGAAAACGTTGTTTTTGCTCTGTTTTCTCTTCCGTCCAAACACTGACCTGGTCAATGACCAGAACCAGACGGCTGTTACCATGGTAACTTGTGTTGGGTTACTTCATGTTGCAGTTTTATAGCAGGAGGGATTTAGACTCCTGTCTGACCATATATGTGAATATGTTTGACTAAGAATTAACAGAGCAGACCAAATGCGAAGGTAAACATCATGCGTTTGCTTTGCCAATGTTAGCTTTCTAGTTTTGACTTGTTTTTAAGCGTTTTTGTCGGCCTGCCTTTTTTGAACTGGTATCTTTACTTTATGCCTGCCGGGTGGCAAATGGATACTGTCTTGCCAGTTTGATTCTATCTTATAGGCACCAAAATATGTGCTTGGCGAATTATAAATGGATAATTCATTATGAAAATCGTGCAATAATGGCACAATAGGAGCCATGAAGTCAACACACCAGGCTGGTTCAAAATTTAAACAATGAATTTTGAACTTTTAATGATACCATTGCATTGAAAGGTGGAATAACTGTAACAACTAGGATGAAAATGACTGTTTTCAACTGTTCATGGCAAAATATGACCTTTTTGCAGTTGATTCTGAACTTTTATTTTTATTTGCAAATCAGAAAAAGATGAAGCGAGCGAATCCGTTAACCAAGAAATTGAATTGGTGTAGCCTAACAATTTTTTTAATGTTTCGCCAGTGTACAGATATCAGATCTTGTCCCTCAGCAGTGGCATAGTAAAAACACTACTGCGCTATCTGGCCTGACGTCATCAGAAGCCAAGGAGCAAATGAGGTCAGTGACGTCTGTGTATATTTCATTACGTGTAATACCTTCATATCTCCAAGCAGATGTTGGGGGGGGGGGCTAAATCGCTACGTTTTTCTACCTGCCGGTTTCTATCACAAATCTAAATTTTAGAGGCTGCTTATGAATATGACCATTCAGCCCTCCCACCGTCTGGTTGGAGACTCGACATAACCACCCTCCGGCCTTCGTGTAACTAGATAATTGTTTCTTTATTTATTTGTTTATTTATTATTTGCACGTATATAAAAAAATTACATAATCAAATAATAACAATGCGAGAATATGCGGGGTAGGCCAGAAACCTAGGTGTTCTTTTAAGGGCCTACCCCAAACAAAGGTAACTTATGACAAAACATATTTGAGTTAAACATCGAAATTAAACAATGAAATAATTGATTAATTAAACAAAATCAAGACACAGAAATTATAACTGAAGTGTGTAAACTATTTTTAACATCTGCGAAAAGAAATTAAACAAAAGTCTTATACATGTAATTCAGGTCGCTGTTACAGAATAAACTGATTAGATAATTAACATAAAAATTAACGATTAAAACAAAAGATTGAAAAAACAAGGAAAACAATTAGACTCCCCTAGTCAATTATTCTCCCTATTGGTTACTTGTAGTGTTTTTTACCCCGCGTTGTTGGTAAGATTTCTTTACCGTCTTACAGAATTGCTACAGCAAGGCTTCATCCAGCGAAACTTTTCAAAATCCGGTTCAAGTGGGGAAATTCTACGCCGGCTTCGAATTCTTCTGCATGCCAAAAAGAGAAAAAGAAGAAGAAAAAGAAGAAATGTAAAAAGAAACTGAAACGCAAGTCAAAATCAGCACCAAACCTGGGCCCGTACAGGACATGCGCAGTCGTCGGCAATGGCGGCATCCTATTGGACAGTCACTGCGGTGACGACATCGACGCGAAGGACTACGTCATCCGCGCGAACCTTCCCGCCCTGGAGGGGTTTGAGACAGACGTCGGGCGGAGAACTAACATGACATTCGTCAACACCAACGTGGTCAAGAGACTGAATATCGCTTCCAAATTGCAGGACAGGACTCGCGACCCTTACCCGACTCGCTTACGACACTTTAACAACACTGTGATTGTCGGGAACAGACAGTCGAAACTTGTCTTACAAACGGCCGCATGGACGAACCAACTTACGCTCGAATTTTGGACCTGCAAGCACGACCTTAGAAAAAACAAAATCATCAACCCGTAAGTACACCAGGTTTTGTGTAGAATTTGTTTTGGATTTTCTTTCTTTTTCGAAAACAAGCCAAATTTGATGCACACGCGAATGCTATCCACATAGTCATTAGAGCCTTATTTTAATAGTCTAACAGCATGACTGCAACCTTCTGACGCATGGACAAAGCGGGTGACACCCATTCGAATTCTCTTAGGTTCTATCATGATCTTTTCTCTGTCTCTGATTTAAAACATAAGGCTATAAATGGTCAAAGATTGTAGCAAAGTCTTTTCTCTGATTTGAACATCAGGATCGCCTACCGGAAAATAACGATTTTAAAAATCAAGTGATGGTCTCAGATTCTATCATAGAATCTGATTTTAACGTCATAATCTTTTCTCGGATTGGAAACTAACAAGACTGGCAATGAAATCATACATTGCCATGGCGACGGTGGTTGCTTTTAGGGTTATTGTTTGCATGGCATTGCCATCATTTCATGATTTTGAGGAAGACTTTGTACCTGTTAAGTCTTGAAAGATACAGTACACCCTTCCCCTGAGTGCATAGTGCACAAAGTAGGGCCGTCTGGGGCAGACAGATCTTCAGGGTTCCAGGAATGTGGGCACAGATGTGGGTCAGAGACATGCCTGTGGACATTCCACATGCCTGTGGACAAAATGCCTGTACAATTCGTAGAATTCTTGCGAATTGCACGCAATACTGTACTATTAGGCTCCTCCCTGAGACGTCGCCAAAAAAGGGTTAATGGACTAAGATTCTTTTCTCTGATTTTAACCTCAGCATCGCGTCCCGGGTTGCTGGCTGGCGGTTCAACAGCCGCCCTTCCTCCGGCCTGACAACCGTCCTCATCACCAGCACCTTCTGCCAACACCTGTCTCTGTACGGCTTCTACCCTTACAGGTCGGGTCATTCATTCATTCATTCCTTTATTCCTCCACTTCTAGTGTGTACCTCCACAGGGGTACACACTAGAAAGATATTACAATATAAAAATAGTTTGTTTATTTCACACAGACACATGATTGAATAAAAGTAATGGATATCGTCAATTCTATGGCGATCTGTCCATTTCTGTCTCGTCTTTCTTGGGCATTACAGTTCTTTACTATTCCTGAGTGTTTAACTCTCGACCGCACTCTTTCTCCAAGTCCCTAATGTAAACACATACTGTCCACTCCCTCCACAGGTGTTTCACTCTGTAACACTTCTCACATTCATTCATTCATTCATTTCATTTCATCTCTTTATTTCCTCCATCTTTGGAGAGCCTCGTAAAATCGGTACAGTACAAAATAAAATCTTATTCTTTGATATTTACAAGAGGTTAGATAAAATAGAAACGTTACACTGTCCCACTGACAGATCCAAGTGAGCACTACTAAATCCTGTAGTCTTACTTCTACATATTGCACTTGGTCTTAAAAGGACTACACCTCGAGACATTACAAGTCAGAAAAATCGAATTAAATCATTGCTACGAGCAATATTACTCTCACAGACTCACACTAAATCTCCAAATGAATGTACAAAGTACGTCTAGGGCCAGATTGTTTTTTTTTCAGTTCTTCCCTCAGAAGTTTCACCACTCCGGGCATACACATGTAGATTACAAGTCACTATTACTAGTTAGATAAGTGTCCTGGGTACGTTATACTGAGTGTTCATTCATTCATTCACTCATTCATTCATTCATTCATTCCATTTCATCTCTTTATTCATTCTTCATTCATTCATTCACTCTTCATTCATTAACAGCAGGGACGCCGACAACAAGCCCATCCCCTATCACTACTTCCCCGACGATGGTGTTGACGAGGCGATTGTTAACAGGAACAAGCACCACCTACCGGTGGAGTTCCGTCTGTACAGGGAGCTCCACAGAAGAGGGGTTTTAACGTTACAGGAGGGAAGGTGCGAGAGTCAGGAAAATAGAAACACTTCTTCATCAATGTAGATAAAGACGTTGTTTGTTTGTTTCGATCCCCATTAGTGCTTAAAAGCACTATTCTTCCTGGGGTCAATAAAATGAAGCATAAATAACAAAACTTGTACATAATGATGATTACAAAATAATAAAGTAAGTTCAAAATCAATAGGAGAGGTCGACCAAAAAAAGCACAAAATAATTTGAACATAATCCAGCGTTGTACGTAAACAACAAAGGTGCCCACAAAATTAACAAAGGTTTAAATTAACTTAAATAACTGAATAGAACATAATTCCAACTGATCATAATTCCAAAGATAAATATAACAAATTGATCAGCCATTTAAATAACTGAAATCTTCTTATCTATCAATAATAATAATGATTATTGTACGTTGATAAATATCATTAGCACTACTTGATCAATTACTGTAATAATGTGCCACATAATTAATGTTGTTGGAGGAAGATCCCGGACAGGCCATAACGGCTTTTTTTTACCTTCCCCGCATATCTTCTTTTGTTATGTTATTATTTATCATGTTTAAAGTTTTAAAGATTATTTTAAACAAACAATAAAATAAGATAGAAGATCTGTTACGTTGATGTAGGCTAGATATCCAGGTTACAAGATACACTGGATAGATTTTGCAAACTGTCAGACGTTTCAAGTAGCATCCAGGCTGGTGTAATACCGGGCCGGCCGCTAGGAGCGCAGATTTAGTCAGGCTACCGCTACTCGGTCACTGACGAAACATAGTAGATGCTATGACAATTTTGGAAAATGTACCCAGTTACTTGAGTAACTGTTTTCTTGTGTATAGTAGAAGTAGTAGTAGTATAGTGATTTTACTTTTTCTTTGCAGGCAACGGAAAAGGAAACTGTTTTTAAATAGTACGTTAATGTTGTGATATCAAGTTTGTGATAAATTATTTGTTTGTGGGTTGGTTTGTCAATAATAAATTACTGGTATAGAACCTGATCAATAATACAAATTTTCTGTTGGCGGTATAAAAAATATCACACAACATATTTTTCCAACATATTAACTATTTTGTCGGCTTTGTACATACTATTCTGACAGTTTCTTGTTATTTTGCATCATAAACCTCTTGTCTTATGTAATTGTAACTGATATTCCATATATCCAGCAAAACGTTACTTTAAAAGTGGATGGAATAGTGTCTAAAAATAAAATGATCATAACGAGATAAACTTTTGATAAATTGTCTTATCTATAACACTATGGCTAGCCATACAATAGCTTATAGCCCCTCTGCCAACTATTACAACATCCATTTGTCACTGAAAAATAAGAGAAGTCTCAGGCCGTGCAACCAGAAACTCCCAGAAACTGAACTGCCCACGGGCCAGAACAAACCGTTACAGTAATTCCCCTATCCCATACATGTGTTCATTACTGAACAAATACGGACAATAATCATCCCTAACCGTCTATATATAATGTCTGGCATTTGCAAATTTCGTTTATACTGTTCATCGTGAAATCAAACAACTCTTAACTTGTATATATTGAATTTATTTACTTTTAACCATGAGAAACTGAATAACTCCAAATATTGCGTGTACATTTTTTAAACGTTTTTATGCTGTAACTAAAAGATCTTAGTCTTACGAGCAGTAATATACTACCCTGCAAACAAGTATTCTTAACCAAAGGATTCAGAATTATGTGCAATATCATATGTCTTTGTGAGCGTTATTAAAACAAATGGTCTATAAATTGACTACACTTTAGTGATATTTTCACTGCGATAGCTCAATAAAGAGATCTTGACTCTTGACTTGACTTGACAAATAAAAGTTTTCAATCAATGTACAAATGGTTTTGATTCAGTGGGAACATAACATATAAAAGGAATGAAATGCATTACTGCAGCAAAGTAAAAGACATAACAATAAATCAGAGCATTGTCTTGTCTCTCTTCATATTCATCTACGGCACATTCATGCATGGTAGCAGACATTTTTGCCTTTTTCGGCACCTTAACTACTGTCAGAAAGTAACAAAATTTCTTGTTTTTTTTCCAAAATCAGGCGAAAATTAATGCGCGCGTTGATCCACGTCATCCATAAAAATTACTTGCTGTGGCCTAAGTACTACTTTGTGTTCTATCGTGCTGAAATCAGATGACAAAAGGATTAATTGCCCCCTCAAATGTTGTGTTTCTCAGGCACGCAGTGGTGTTTCACTATTGTTAGTTGCCAGGAGGGATACATAACACTCGTCAATACGTTAAGGTCATACTACGTAATCCGTGGCCTTGGACCATGCATCCATTTATCGTATTTATATCTACAATTGTTTCAAGAAGCGAGAAGACGTTGAACATCCAAATATTGGCTAACGTTAGTATATACACATGTATATAGTTTTTATAAGATATTGCTGTATAATTTTGTTAGTTTTGTTTTCATGTTGCAATTTTGAATAAATAAAATACTTTCGTTTTATTCATGACATGCACTTAGCCTGTAAGAGCACAAACGTACAATAAAGATTTTTATTTTATTTTATTTTTTATTACTTCATTTCATTTCATTTCTTTTCTGGATGTCATTCCTTTTTAATTCAATATCAACTGTACGAGGATTGTACTGAAGGCATCTAAATCATTACATGGATGACATAAATCTTTTACAAACGTCATATGAATAGTTCAAGGAAAGTAAAATAGCCACAGGAAAGATTTACTAGTACTTTGCTTACAAATAAATCTATAGCAATAAATGCCGATGTGTTTCCTTTTGATCATATAATGAACGATCCTTACATAAAATATCCTTATGATCAAATCATACGTTTGTACATCTTCAAAATATTCCAAGGTTGCTATAATTTAAGGCTATTGTTATGACTGACACATGGAACAAATGTAAGACATTTGGCCGCATTTGTAGCCACAGGAAATGAACGTTGCTAATCAATCAATTCATAATGCCTAACGACGATGTTGCCTCAACTACAAGCGCTAAGCAAACTTTGTTCATTTGTTTCATATTAATAATGTCATAAATATTTAATCGCAAACATTGCGTGATGTTAGGTCATCGGCACCGCTGCCATGACATATCGATAAATGTCTTGTCATAAACTCTACATGATGTTTATTAATTTGAACAATTCGATATCTGGACGGTTTCTCCCCACGCATATTTTACGTGAAACCAAAAAGAACGCATCAAAAGGCAAATACAAAGTAAATCCTATGGATTGAAAACGGATTCTACGTATATACGTGTATATCTTATACGGATACAGCCTTGTCAGTCTAAATGTGAGCATGACAATACTCAGCACATGGAAACATGACACCGGTTTTGCATTGCGTGAAGGTTGCTTTGTTTAGTCACCTTGACAACAAAATACGTACGGCATATTCTACAAGGGCCGTTGCCACATGAACGTGTGCAATTGTTGTCGAATGCCTTCTGCGTAGTATACGTGTTGGTCTAATACTGAGAGTGAGAGATACGTGGGATTCAACAAAAATAGGATACAGCGAATGGACTAATTCACCGTGTGTTTCACAGGTGAGAATCTATAGATATCTATAATAATAATAATAATAATAACCTTTGTTGTACATTCATGCTAAGTACAGGTGAACAGATGAAAGGGTAATATACATGTTTGTAGTACAAACAGCTCTAAAACTACTCTAATACAGAGGTTCGGCTTCTTCTTTGTGATGTTAAAAATATAATTTAAAATGGGTTTGTATAGTACAGAATGATTATGAATCAACACGTTAACCTTATAATTTTAAAATCAAGTTATGTGTTTGAAACAGTTGGTCCCTCTAGTCGTTTATTTTGATTTGAAAATCGCAGGATGAAACGTGTTAAATTCTGATGTTCAGACATATTACAAAAGATATATTAAATGTTTTCTCTGAGGACAAGACTAGGTAAGGTCAGCACTTTGATCAAATAAGGTAATTAGATCAAAAAGACATATAATGGTTAGTCTGTGTCCCCCATCTTTTCTTGGGGGGGGGGGGGCTATATTCCATAGGATAATATACTATATACAAAAGAGAAATAGGAGCAGTATTTGGTGCATCGGTAAAGGTTAGACATCCAGGTAATCATATACGCCAAAAAGCAATTACTCAAGCAACAGGATATGATTTTGGAAACGGTCAGCTAGTATCCACTACCTTTCGTCAGTGACTGACAGACCAGAGGAGAAATGCAGGTTTTGTATTTGGTGCATATTTGTCTGCTAGTTATGCCTATTTTGTTGGAAAATAACGTAACAGAATGAAAGGACAACGAAAATTATATAGGCCACATTATACAGTAAGAACGGGACTATTATCTACTGCGATTGTACATCGTAAGGGCCAGCATACCTATAAGGATACAGTGGGGTACAAACGTCTATACTCATGTTAGACATGCCCTGGGGAGTCTGGTCTTCACATGAACAAGTGTGTCAACAAGCCTCTAATTTCTATTGGTCCGATTTCAATTTCACAATCTATTTCAAACGTTACAGTCTGGACTCGGGTTTGACATCTTTGAAGAGGTGATAGTCACCTGTTATGTCAATCCTTCCACAAATGTGGTAAATCTTGATAAATAAATAGATAAACATACTGTCTAAAGAATTGGTCAGACCGTAGAGTCTGTAATCTCCAATTCTTTAGACAGTACGTGAGATAGAAATCAGTGTCCAAACTTCTTCAATAAATGCCTTCTACTGAGTGAAGTATACGGCAAAAGATACACCAACCACTTGATGTCATGTTGCGTAATCACTGAAACAGATATTCTTTTTAAGTCCATCCAGATGTACAGAATGCACTGTTAGTTCTTTTGTAGGGTCACTGATTGTAGTAATAATTAGGTGTTAAATTCAGAAGACAGAAAATCGAAATCGGATGTAGATTATTCCCATGTCATTAATAGTGCACGATATTATGTAGGCGTGGTGACACTTTCTAACCTTAAATATATGACTTCAGGATGGGCTTAATCATTCTCAGAAATAGTTTAAAATACGGCATGTCACAGATATTTAGAACGACTTGGCATCTTCATAATATGTGCCGTGTCAGCTGCAGTACTCAGTAGTCATTACTGTAACCTAAATGGGATTGAAGACGAGAGTCATTTTATTGTGGACTGTACTCTATATAATAATGAAAGATTCTCTTTAATTATATACAAGATTATTTCCCTAGCTTTAGATTTTTACATAGAAAAGAAAAATTCACATTCCTCGTGAAACTCGACAATCCTCGTACTATAAGCTCCATCTGTTCTTACATATACAACTGTCTTAAGAAGCGAGAAGAAGCAGAAACTGAACATATGTAGTTTTACTATAGATATATTTTATTCTACCATCGCTATTTACTGTGACCTGTACTTAGTTAGCAATGAGCAAAAATGTACGAAAAGGTCTTTTTTGTTACTATTATTATTATCATTATTATTTTGGATACTGGTTTCTATTTCAAGTACAGTATTGTCTAAAGAATTGGTCAGAAGGTGCAGGCTGTACATTCAGACCAATCCTTTAGACAGTATGTTTATCTATTTATTTATGAAGAATTACCACATTGGTTAAAGGATTGACATAGCAGGTGACTATCCCCTCTTCAAAGATGTCAAACCTGAGTCCAGACTGTAAGGTTTGAAATAGATTGTGAAATTGAAATAAATACCAATAGAAATTGAAATCAGACCAATAGAAAATAGACACACTTGTTCATGTGAAGACCAGACTCCCCAGGGCATGCCTAACATGAGTACAGACGTTCCTATCCCACTGGGACTGGGTGGGACTAAATAGAAACAAAGACAATCCCGGAAACATCTGTCTCTATATTGTTTTGTGACCATAGGTCATATAATAGTTTTGCCCTACATAGTTACGTGGATGTTTATATATATCGTGTATTATTT